GAATCATAGAATTATAAATTAATAATGTCATGAAACATAAACAACATAAATAGTAACAAGCATGTTAAAAATACAAATCATGCAAGTCTCATACAACACATTTAAATACCACATGGTCTATTCATAACTTAATAAAAGAAAATGACAATTAATTCAAATAATGTAGGTAAGATAAGGACACTAGAACAATAGCATGAATGAAATCATAATCTTTTGAAGTTAAAGCTCAACTATAATAGAACATCTCCTTAGCATCAATGCCTAGCGGTTGTATCTAAACTTTATCTCGTAATTTCTGCCTATCCTTTTCCATAGAACCATAAAATTCACTTTGTTTGATAAGCGAGTGGGATAGGAGCAAGAAATAATCCACTGTCCTTCTTAAATTTAATGAAAAACATTTCAAGATTGAGGCAGACAATTTCAGGTTCTTAGATAAAGTGAGATTTTGTCATTGATGATGATAATAAGTCGAGAGAGAGAGAGAGAGAGAGCTTACTGCTTCAGCTAACCAATGAATAGACTTGAGCTCTCCACGCTCAAGTATGCTTCTGTAATAAAAACTAATTTAAGAAATTAGATCTAAATAAGAATAAGAATCAGTCATGCTTTTTTATTTTTCTCCATCATCAATACAATGATGACAAAGTAAAGTTGAATGATCATATAATTGTCATCATTAAAAGAAAAAAAAATCTTTTGATGCTGTGATATTACCCTATAGATATAAAATGATACCATCATCAAAATTCATGTCAATACATCATAATAAAACACAGAACAAAGAGAGCAAACCTCCTAAGTAAGAGTATATTATCAAGACTCTGCTTAATTTGAAGTTGAAAATGGAGGTAACTGGATATCATCTGCCACTAGCATTATATTTGGTCATATCTAAATAAATTATTGACTTAGAACAGTGTTTCTAGGATCATTTTTTAAAATATTTTTATGTAATTATTGGCTTACAAGAGTACCTTTGTACTACTAAAACCAAGTCACATGCATAGGTATATTCATTCAAAGGGCAAAATTAACTCATATAAATTAGTTTGACTGTGATTTTCTATGATAATAATGACCAAATAAGGTAGTACTTATAAGACTAACGATAGTAAAGAGGAACACTGATCGCAAGACTCAGGTGCTATCAAATGTCATTATGTCAACCTTTATACCATATACTAAGATATTATAATTATAAATAAGTAAATAAATAAATAAATATATATATATATATAATAAAAAGAGTATAATGTTGATGGCCACCTATTTCTAGTTAATCTCCAACTTATAATTTGTTTCTTCTTTTACTCAAAAAAGCAAAATTATAGAGTCACTACTAGTTTCTCTGCTTTGCTTGCATCATCAATCAAAATGGTAACTGTCTCATTATTACGCCTTTTCTTTTTTACACTTATCCTCTCATTTCTACTCTTATCCTCTCATTTCTACTTTGAATAATAAAAATAATAAAAAGTGAATACTAAATAATACACCTAAATATAATGTACATACTGTGTGTAGAAAATGAGCTTTCAATGTGTGTCCTAGCTAGCATAAAAGGACTAGCGCGAAGCATGAAACTAGAAAAATATACTTCTCAAAAAGTTACTCCATAAATTAGGGACTCTGTAGTCAACTGATTAGCCACAAGACATTTCACAGATAATAATAATCCCCAACGGCAAATATGCTTCTCAAAAAGTTTCTACAACTATAAATAATCTTAAGTTTTGAGTTGAATATTGAAATAAACTCATACTACTACTACTACTACCTGTTGTAGCCTAATAAGGCAACCACATGTCCCATGCCATTGATCAATAAACAAGAGCCACCTCACAAGGCTCATCAAATAGCCACATAACACAAAACATACCTAAAAGAGACACATATTTAATATATTACCATTAGTTCATGACATGCAACTAGAAAAAGAAAAAGGAGAAAGAGATGCAATTAGCAGACTCAGGCAAAATACTTGTACCATTATAAAATAAATAGAAAACATTCCAAACAAGAAGACACAAATCTTGAAACCTGAAATGAATCACGATCTAAAATAAATAACCTATTGTTGCATAAACCTAAAATCAATCATAATCCAAAAGCCAATGATATCCGCTATGTCCTTTGAGTGATGGATTCTGCGATGACAGCTAGATGAGTGTGTGTAAGCCATTAAAATAAAAGTATTTATTCACTTACCCCGAAAACTAGATTTGGAATCATAAACCTTCATATCTGATTTTGGAAAAAAATAAACATATATAGGGTTTGTATAAAGGGAAAAAAGATTAAACAAAAACATCAAATCAAATTGGGAATTGAATACACAATTTCTTACCATAATCAGTGGGAACAAATCAAGCAAAGGAGATAGGCAATGAATGAAGACGCGACAGCAAGAACAAATGTGATAGGAAGCAGCGGAAAATGGATCGGAGACTCAATTCCAGGAGCAGTGACGAGAGGATAGGTCTCAGCACTAACTAAGAGATGTTTTTCGAAGGGTTTAAGCTTGATAAAGGGATGGGTGAAGGGTTCAAGTTCGATAAGGGATGGGTTTGGGTTCGAGTTTAGTGAGGTTTAGGGAGAGGAGCTGTTCAGTGAGTTCATTGAGCTAAAAGTTGTAACAGCATAGTCCCCAGCCCCTTATGTTGGCGAATACGGTGCTGGCACGTGTCCCCTGACGGGCCCACATGCGACTTTATTCATAGTAGTACATGGATTATTTCTCACCGTACCAAAAAAGTCTTTTGGAACCTTCGTAGGGATTGAGCCTCCAACCTCTACTACCTTAGTGAAGTTGTGGCCAATCCTGATATCATTAGGTCACTTGACTCAATAATACTAAACTTAACTTCAACTTCCTTAAGGTGGTAGAGGTTGGAGGTTCAAGTTTGAGAAAGTTTCAAAAGACCTCTTTGGTGGGGTGAGGAATAACCCAAGTACCACCTTGGGGAAAGCTGGCTTCTGCTATAGTGATATGAGTTGGCCCAGTCCAAAAGACCCCTAGTGGGGTAGGGTGAGGACTGTTACATAAAAGGTGCCTTTTATGTAACAACACGGCACCTAACCCCTTACGTTGGCGAATGTGGTGCTGGGACATGTCCCCTCACGAGCTCATGTGCAACTTTCCCCATGGTAGTACATGGGGTTATTCCTCACCCCATCAAAGAGATCTTTTAGTACTTTCCCAGGGATCAAGCCCCCAACTTCTCCTACCTTAGTGAAGTTGTGACCAACCTTAGTACCATTGGGTTAAGTAACTCAATGGTACCAGGGTTCACTAAGGTAGGAGAGGTTGGGGGCTCGATATCTGGGAAGGATTCAAAAGACCTTTTTAGTGGGGTGAGGAATAACCCATGTACTATCATGGGAAAAGTTGCACATGGGCCAGTGAGGGAACATGTGCCAGCACCGCATTCGCTAGCGTAAGGGGCTGGGGGCCGTGTTGTTACAAAAGTTGTGAGATTTAAAGAGCTAAAGGGTTTCCTATGAACTTTTGTAAATTAAAAAAAAATACTTATCCACAGGATATGGACACACCCTAAAATTAGGTGTGACCGGCACGGGATATAGACACAAAACTAACATCCCTTAAGCCTTAATAGGAGAAACTCCTAAGTTAATACTTTAAAAACCTTAATATGATGATTAAAAATTCTCACCATACTTTTCATATAAACTAGAGATCACTAACTTATAAATAAATTTCGGCAAAATGTCTTCTGAAAATAGGACCTCTAGAAATTTCTATAACAACAATTTATAATATTAAGTCAAATATACAATTTTAAAAAAAGACGAGGATCCTACCTACAATCTACATAGAGCACAAGGCTAGACTCAGACAAAAATACAAAGTTCTAATTCACATCAAATTGAGACTTGTCTTAAATAATTCTTCCACTTTAGTCCAGCAATAAAACTCCTCAATGAATACCTTGAGATACAAGTTCGGTGCCATTTGGGGCTAAAAATATCCTTTCTAGTGAATAACATCCTAGATTAAGATTAAAGAAAAATAGAAAGTAAATATAAATGGAATAAACATGAATTAAACTAAATTAGTCATAAAAAATGGTAGGAGTGCATAACTCAAATAAAAATATTTATTTAAACACTTAATATAAAACATCTTTATGTGAGGATAACATGTCAATCAAAGTTCACTTCCTAAATACCATATTCATATCAAATGGATAAAAATAGCATAACTTATAAAAAATTTATTAAACAGAAATAATCTTGTTTAACAAAATTGGTTTAAAAATAGAAATTTCAAATATTCTTTAATGAGACTTCATCAAAACGGACAACAAGTATGGGCACAAAGTCCATAAGGGTAAATAACTAACAAGCATGGACACATAGTCCACGAGAGTAAATAACCAGTCAAGTTCAACTAAAAGTCACGAAACAAGAGTGGCAGGAGCCACAAAACAAGCGTAGGCATGAAGCCTATGAAAACAAGCGTGAATACGATGCTCATGAATAACAGTCCCTCCATTCCACATGCATTGGCCATCGCATTGGGCTAGCACTCCTTCAAGCACCCTGCTAGCTAAGTGTACCATGGTGCACCAAGGGCTAACAGTACTGCTATTAGCAACTAGCATTCTGATTTAATCCTAGATTTCAAATCAAACATGCATGGGTCTAAAATCAAATATTATCTTTTTTTCCAAATTACTCATCAAACTTAACATAATTGAATGCATCTGTATATAAATCCCATGCGTGAATCATAATAAATAATTATTCTTTAACTCATAAAATCAATCAATATTAACATAGTAGTACTTGTGAATATTTGTTTGAAAAACAAATTCCAATTCCTTTTACAAGATTTATTGTAAAGCAAGATTTTCCTTATATAATAGTAAATAACAAGATTAAAACACAAACATTAGATACATATATTATGTAAATCAAATTTTTAATTAAGAAAATGAATATACTATTAAATTATTAGGACGCTATTCACTTACCTGATAAACCGTCAAAATTATAACCTCTTCCTTCTAAACACCTCATCTTTTCTCTTAAGCTATTCTATTACCTAGACAAGAAGAACAAACAACTTTCTTTAACAATGACTCTACTTCCTTCACTAAACAATATGTGATTTATCAATTCCCCCCCCCCCACAAGTTCACTTTATTCGAAGTATGTAATTTATAATCTTATACTTGGCAAATATTCAAGCATCAATCCAAGCTCCTTAAATCAATTAAGGCCACTATTCACAACTCAATGAACACGTTTCCAATCCAATTTCATGACAAATTTAAAGTAGACAATTTAACTTATTATTATTATTAATTATTATTATTATTATTATTATTATTATTCACATGTAGAAAGAACATTGAATTTAATCAAATATATATATATACTATATATATCATGTAGATATACCTATTCAAACAATATTTGCACTTCTCAATTATCAACGTAAAAATTGAATTACCTAAACTCTAAATTTCTACCCTCAATACACCTAATATACTTGATTACTCTAATCCAACTTTTCTATATATATATATATATATATATTAACAAACACCATCATTTATATTACAAAAATTTCTCCATAATACTTTAATCGTAGTTAACTATTCCATGGGGATATTTTTAACATTTAAATATCTTGTCCAACAATTTATTAATAATCATACAACCTCTAAGAATTCAATCAATTATCTATTAACTTCATAATCAAATTTCTTTGCAAGATTCAAGCCAAGTTCATGGACTGTAATCACCAAATCTAATCATACTGCTTGTAAGAATTAGTGAAATTTCAAAAAAATACATATTCAAACAAAACTTTTTCTAAGAGGTAATTTATCAAACACCTTGCAAGCGTCAACCTTAAAGTAATATTCCAAGTCTTTCTTCATCAATTCAAACTCCCAAAAATTTTACGATAAAGATATGTGAATTAATTAGGCATCCCAAATTTCGTCACTTCAACACAAGCAAATTCCCATCAAGAATAAATTCCACAACTCAATCAACTCACACACACACACATAACTATTGCAAGGAGAAAGGGAGACGAGTTCAACTCACCAAAAAAATTCAAATGCAGAAACGAAGGAAGGGAACTAAAATCTCCACACTCATTCTTAAACAGGGACAACAAGAGATAAAGAAAAGCAGAGCAGGCCAGTCGTGGAACAGGGGAAGGAGGAAGAACCAGCAAACTGAATCACCTACAGTGATGGAAACAGCTCCTCCATAACCGTCCACAGCATGTAGAAGGAATGAAGGAGGAGTTAGCAGAAGAAAGTGAGAACAAGGAGCTACGTTCACTGTCAGAAATGCCACAACAGCGACGGACTCCAGCCAAGATGCACCAGTGATGACATGAGTAGAGAAGGAGCAGAAGAAATGGCCCGCGACGCTGTACAAAGAGGAGAAAGAAGGAGAAGGTTTAATACACCCTTTAAAGCACTAAGAACAGAGGAGGGAATGAAATGGAATTCAAAACCCACATGCACACAAGACGACATCACCGTAGGGAAGAGAGAAGCGAGTGACGATGCACGAACTCACAACTCAACCTCCCAACAACGGCGGACAAAACTATTGAAGATATAGAAGGCGAGATTTCTAGACCTAAGATCTCTCTCACTCTCTCCATTAACTCTGCTGGGGAAAATGATCAAAGAAGAGAAAAATGTAACTGATGGCTCTTAAGGGTATAATGGTAATTTTACAAGAGCTGAGCAAAAATAAAAGAAATCCCATTTTGGGTACTCTCTGGATTCGAAGCCAAACTTGAGACTAATACCAACATAATCTCCACTAAACCATCATTCCCCCTCAGGGTATCAGCTCCAAAATAAATGAAAGTACACTTAAAACACCTTACCATAGATTTTAATTTACTTAAAAGTTTTGGATTATTACAATAATTTTGTTTTCTGAGAAAGCCTCGTCCTTACCTTCAAAGATGACGTGGTTTTTCTTGTTTGTAGGTCAATTTTATAAAAAGCAACGCAGATAGATTTCTTGATTTGTAACTTAGTTACAAAATTGCCACCGATTCTTTTTCTTATTTCACTTTTTTTTTAAAAAAAAAAAAGCAAGGTAAATTTAGGGTAGTAAAAAGTATATTTTGTAGTAGTGAGTTTAACTATTTGTAAGTAAACTGGTGTAATATATTATATGTAATTTCAATTATTGTCATGATTTAGGAAATTTGCATAAGTTTGAATTAAAAAGGGATTTGAACCATATAGTAAACTATTTTGGAAAGTTGTTTTAAAAATTAAATGATAAGCTATCTACTATATACATATGTGAATATATGGTTGTATATAAAGTAAAAATGCATGATCATGATGGGGGTGAGAGTTCACCACTAGTGAGAGTAGTGTGAAAAACCATACAACATTTATTTTCCTTAGTACTCAATGGAGTGCATGTTAGAGAATCTCCCTCCTTAATGCCCATACGAGTACAGTGTTGGAGACTCTCTTCTTAGTGCCTATACGAGTGTGGTGTTAAAGATTTACACTCCTTATAGCATCTGTGAGATGCGGTATTGGAGTAACGATACCCTGATCATGTGTATGATAAGGGGATCCATAATCTAGAAGTGGGATATATAGAACACATTTAGCTAGATGATTCTATTACTAAAGGTGTACTCAAATTAATGTAGACATGATTAGTCCAGTAGAGCCTATGTGTTTAGTTGGGGTGATGTGGAGGCTTGGATAGATAGGATGATCATGCTTTTGAAAATGGTTTTATAAAGATGGATATATTTATATGTGTACATTATGAAAATGATGATGAGGATGATGATGATGATTTTTTTATTTACTTGTTTATAGTTATTCCTGTTAATAGATAAATGTGAATTATTTTAGTTATTGAGACTCTGTCTCACTCCATGGTTACGATTTTCTAGGTTCTAATAGTGATAAGAGCAAGGAGAAAGATTCAGGCCAAGCATAGTAGGGTTATTGCTGTGCGATCTCAGAGTTTGTGTAATGAATTTGATGTATATTAAATATAAATGTTATAAGTTGCCATATGAATGCATTATCATATTTTGATGCACTTGTGTGAATACTGTATGTGTATTTTAGCCCTATGATATGGAAATGTGTAAAATATAATAGAGAGCTAAAATACTAGTGCAAGTGTATAATTGCGTGTTTGAAATGTTTAAATGTTGGAAATTTGGCCAAGTTTTGTGGATGTGTGATTATATGAAAAACAAGCCTTATTGTGCGTAGAAAAGGGCATTTTATTAGCCAAGTTTGTTTGCGCTTGGGATTTTGATGACATGTTTAGTCAATTAGGTAATAAATTTTTGCTTGAATGTAGTCAAGGCTCTAGAGGTAGCTAATGGCACAAGGTTTGGATTTAGAATGCTCAAGTGAGTATAAATGACATAAGACGATCGTTTTATGTCTAGGTGTCCTGTTTTCAAAATAAAAATTAGATTAAAATGAAGCCTATGTCATTAGTTAGATTGTGAAATAAGTTTCATGTGAGTACTTGAATCATTCCAATCTTTACCGTTTTATGTCATACCTAGTAAAAAGGAGGTAAAAATCACTACCCATCAATTTTCTAATTATGCACTAATATGGTAAGAATATTTCTTGCTAGGGTGTATAGTGCACATGCTACAACACATAGCATAGAACGTGGGCTTATAGCTTCGTACCACATGCCGTGGAATATGGTCCAATTAGGCAAAAAATGACTATTTGCCACTATTTTACCATATATGGTATTTATGCATTCCTAGATGCTTACATTGTGCATAAAAAAAATATCTAGATGGTTTGAACCATTTTCAAAAGGTATGTTGGGGTCCCAATTATTTTAAAATAATTAATTTCTATATTTTAATATATATGATTTATGGTAATTTAAAGTTTTAAGAACTTTTAATTACCTTTGAATGGTGTTTGTAGATGAGTTTAGTAATGTCAGGAGGAAATCTCAATCTAAATTTGAAATTTCTGACCAAAAGGTTAAATATCCACCGTTTGAGGGTAATCCAAATCTAGATGTCTATCTTGATTAGGAACTTAAAATGGAACAAATGTTTCAATCCATAATATACCTAGTAAAGAGAATGTAAAAATTGCTACCTGTAAATTTTCTAATTATGCATTAATATGGTAAGAAGATTTCTTGCTAAAGCACTGAATTATCGGTAAAGATCCTTCAAAGTCTTGGAAAAAGCTTAAGAAATACATTAGAAACAAGTACGTGCCCGACTACTACTACAGATGTAACATCCCAAATTTCTAATCCTGTGTTAATGACTGATTAAGAGTGAATTATTGATTTAATGTGAGATTAAGGTTATGAGTAGTGAAGTGTTATATTGACTCATTAGGGTGTTATGTGAACAGATATGAGAAGAGTAGAGTCCTGAAGCAGAGCGTGTGAGCATAGTGAGGATTTCCTTCACTGTGCCACGCACTATGGCAGGAGATAGATGCCCTGCGACGCTGGTGCAAAAATCAGATTAATAGGGACGTGTCTAGTTATAGAAATTGAAAGGGAGAGCATGATATAAGAGGTTTTATGTGGAGAAGAGCAAGAGATATGTTGGGGCAAGCATAATCTAGAGTAAGGACAATATTTCTGACCTGTTACTTATTGAGTAAGTCACGTACTGCCATAACCTCCGATTCTACCCTATTTTCTCTTAGTTTAACTAGTGAAAAATTGAATTAAGGAGTTTTAAGGAGTTGATTTCTTACCCTATAGTAATAAAAAGGTTCTTCAGAGCTAAACGAGTGCTTTGTGACTGGTTTGAGTCGAAACAATAAAGTTTTGAAGCTGTAGGCAGGAATTGCCCTAATCTAGAGAGAGAGTAGTGAGAGAAAATTGATAGAAAATGTTAATGCTTTAAATAAAGGGTAATTAATGGTAATATGTATAATCGAGTGTGAAATATTGATTTGATAGTGATTAAGTGCTTAAAAGTGATAATTGGCACTTTTGTCAATAGAAAAATTGACTCCGAATGCTAATTTTGTGTAGATTCTAGTGTGTGATGCACGAATTATGAGAAAAGAGCTTGAATAGGGTTGAAGTTACACGGGTAACCCTTTCTATCGAACAGAAGAGTTGAAGTAACCATATAATTTATTAGGTTTATTAACTATTATAATTGTGTAAAAGTAAATACAAAATGAGAAATAGTGGTTTATGAGTTTCTATGCATGATGTGTATTGAAAATGATTTTAGCATGAGTATTGGTTTGTGAAATGGTTTTCGAAAGGTTATCAATTTCAAATGATATATATATATATATATATGTTATGACATTATATGTTGTGGAAATGTGAATGAGTAGTGATAATTGTGAAAGAATATGATCATAAGGGGTGGGAGTTCACCTAGGATATATGGTAGTGTGTGTGTGTGTGGAGATATGTGAGTGAAAAATCCATATGGTCAGGCCAACACCATGGGACATCCGGTGCAGTATTATACGAGTTGGTACCATGGGTAATCCAGTATAGCTTATTATGAGACTGTTACCATGAGATATTCAGGCAGTCTAGCAACTCCCTAGTGCCTGTTAAGGTGCGATTAGGAGTCAACAACACCTCTATCACAAGTATGTGAAGAAGGAAATCATAGTCTATAGGTGGGTTAGATTACCTTTGGCAAGGTATTTCTACCACCAAAAGTGAGCTCGGGTCAATAAGTGGTTGATCTAGGAGAGTCTATGGTTTCATGTCGAGGAGCTTTAGAGGATCGGTGGATAGTTGATCATGCTAAGGTGTAAAAGTGTTTGAAACATGATTTATATGCAAAAGTGTTGATTTAGTTATGATATACTACATATATATGCTATAATATGATTTCTGTTACTTGGGTATTGTTATTTGTGGGAATTGACATTTAATGAACTATATTTAGTTACTGAGATTTTTATCTCACCTATGGTTATTCACATTTTTCAGGTTCTGGTGCTAGTGGTTCAAAGGGAAAGAATATAGGCTAAGTTGACATCTCTCGCCTAAATCTTTGTAAGAATTAGTGTAATGAATTTGTTGTTAATGGTTGTAAATATGTATAAATTGCCTTAGGACTTGAGCATGTGCATATTGTGGTATGTTTGATTATTTTGAGCTCCCTAGCCCTTGTATATGTGTGAATGATGAAATGATTGGATGGGTTAGTGAAAGAAGATATATGTGTGTGAATATGTGATATGTGAAGTAGACGGATAGTAATTTGGCCATGTATGAGATCATACAAATAAAAATGTGATTTTGGCTCAAAGTGTGAAATAGGCAGTTTACAAGCCAAATATGTGTATGTTTGATATATTGTGTATGTGTGTGGTCAATCAAGTGTGTATTATCCAATTGGATGTGGTCAAGGCCCAAAAAGTGGCTAATGACAATTAGTTTCGAATTTAGACACTTAAGTGGCAAAATTTTGATAGATAATGCTCAAAATGCACTTTGGTGTCAAATTTTTGATAGAAATATCGGATCAAGTTAAAACTAGTGTCATTAGTTAAATTCAAAACAAGCTTCGTGTAGGCGCTTGAATCATC